TTTCATGGTGTTTGTTTTGTGTAGTAATAAGATGCAGATTTTTTACACACTTAGGTATTCTAATACAGATATAAAATGTGCCAAAAAAGTTATTAGGAAACTAAGAATTTTATCACATGTATAAATATTAAGTATAATGATTTAATCATTTTTGACATTTTATTTTTCATATGTAGGCATTGAATTTTCTGAAATATATGTTTGTCTTCTTTTAAATAAATTTAATAAAGAATGAACTGCAGATTTTGTTTATTTTATTTTGAAATTATATTTTAAAAAAATATATAATAAATCCGCGTGTTTCAATTAGGATTTGTCAAAATGGGCGAAATCCCCTTATTATGGCTAAATTGTAAGTTACAATTATGTCAATATAAAGATGTTTTGCCCATTCATATTTATAATTATTGAATGAATCATACTGGAGTTGATTTTGGAAAGATTGGTACATACTTAAATAAGTACTATTTCTAAAAATTCGTCTATGCCCAGACAGCACACATAGTCCAATGGACGTACATTTTACATCCATTTGAGGGTCAGGACGTCCATATCCGGGCATCCAGTGTACGTCCGTTTATTCTAATTAATTTGACAGCTGAATATCGATACCCAGAGAACATCTGTTTTTGGACTTAATTTTAAGTTTATTAGTATTTTGACGTCCTGCGGACGTCCATCTTAGGTCATTATTTATTAAGCCTAATTCCCATCTATATACACTTCCTTTTTTAATATAATTGGTTATTAAAAATTGACAAATTGAATCTATTGCATTTCATTCTATCACCGAAAGTTTGAAATCTTATTCCATTATAACTATATCTAGTAAACAATAAAAAATGGATGTGTCGTGAGTACGATTCCTGCTCAGGTCAAGCGATCTTTAATTGAATGTCCAGTATTCGACGTCCAAATATATTCCAGAATTGGACGTCCTCTGAATGGTCAAAAGTGTGCCATTTTTATACTTCACTAAACGTCCATTGGATGTCGGAAGTCCAGAAAAACTCATTATATATCGAATGGACGACGTCCAATGGACATATTTGTATTGTCTGGGTGATAACCAGGCCAGGGATTTAACTCTAAATACATAAACCTTAAATGACATCTGGCTTATCTTTGCGAGAAAACACTTGTTTTTACAGAAATGAGTAATAAACTTGAAAGTCTTTTTAATAATGAATCCAGAAATTCTAAAAATATGTAAGTACTTTTTAAACCTAAAAGCTTTGAAAATATATGCACATTGTAAATATTTAGTTAAACCTCTCAAACTTAATGTCTTTTTAATTGTTACCCTAAATTTTTTTTGGTACCCTTAATTTTATTTACCTTATTTTTACTTAAGGAAAAGGTGATTTAATTTAAATATGGGGCTTTTATTACATTTTTTACAATAATAATAATAATAATATTAAATTCATTTATTTGCAGCTTACACAGAATATGGAACAAAAAAATATAATTGTAAAAAAACACCTAATGTAACACTGCAAAATAGAGCTGGCATATAGTGCCAGCCATAGACAAAAATTATTTTGTGAAACAGAGTAGCCATATGAAGTCTTCTTCTACATGTCATATCCAACCATTTAGCATCACTTAATTTGTGAATTACTTCATCAATAAATATATAAATAAACCAAATATTAAACAAATTATATAGATTAATTATAAAATAATAAACGTCTTTTACTTTTATAACAAATAAGTAATTTATATTATATAATATTATATTATATTATAATATATTATATAATGCATTATATTTTGGTGCTGAAATTTCACCATTGCTATTAACCCTAACTACTTCAATGTAATTAAATCACATAACATAATTTGCGCATGGACTATAACAATGTTTCAGATAATTTGCCAAACTATTTCGCTCAGTGTAGAAAATAAGCATGTTTTCTCAGCGTGCTAAGTTGTGTATCAGTCAAAGTCATACTGTGAAAAAGGTCCATCCGATATCAAAGGCACCGACAGCTACTGTCGCTTCTCCTTGATCGGTATTCTCGGGCTTATCTGTATCTGTAACGTGTGGAGAATGGGTTACCCCCACGGCACGTAGACCTCATTAGGCCCATTGTGAATCCTCCTAAGATGATAGCTCGTAAGCCAGCCTACAGATTTAATGTAGTTGACAACGTCACCAAGATGTGCTTCTCTTATATCGGCCGGTGTTAGCCAATACTAGCCGACCACAAATCTTCTAATAAATGAGAGCGTCGAACAATCGTAAAGGATATGCTCGATGGTCTCATCTTCTTGTTCGCACCCCCTGCAGAGTGCGGATTCTGACAGCCCCATGATATGGAGATGCTTCCGTACTTGGCAATGACCAGTCAGAATGCCTGTGACTAGGCGCAGATTCTGTCTAGTCATAGTCAAGTATTTGTTTGCTGCAGTGTTGTCAGAATAACTTAAGAGCTACCTGGCAACTCTGCAGTTTCTTGTTTTGTTCCATCTTTTCTTGAATTTCCCAGAGAAATTTTTTTTATTAGGTCTGTCACTACCGATTTTGTCAGGCCAATAGAAGGGCCAGGTCCAAAAAGTATTTAGTTGGCTACTTTCTTGGCTAGTGAATCAGGAAGACGGTTACCTTTCAATGTGGCGTGACCTTTGATCCATCTTAAGGTGGCCACATTGTTGATGAATACTTCGGCCAAAGCTTCGTGACATTCTAGTACTAACCCTGAATAAATTCGTGCTCAGTTCAGGGTGAGTAGTGCTTGTCTGCTATCTGTATAGATTAGCATGTTCCTTTCAGCGATATTCTTTCTGGTTATTTCTTTTGCTGCTATGAGAATCCCCTTTAGCTCTGTTTGAACTACACTGGCACTATTGCTCACAGCCCATTTTATATTTAAGAATCTGGAGTATATTCCACATCCTGAGCATTGTTTTGTTTTAGAACCGTCGGTGTAGATATGAATCTTACCTGCCACTTCTGGCTCTTCTATTTGTTCTATTATAACTATATATGGCTTATGGAAGATATATATTGGTGAGATGGAGTCCATATTCGCTTGAAGCATGTAAATATCAAAGGGAATGAGACTAAGAATGACTTCCATCGCTTTGGCCGGTGTTGTTTTCATGGCTCCTATTATGGTGAGACATGCTGTTCTTTGAATTTGTTCTAGTTTACAGATAGCTGTTTATTTTCGGGTTCTCGGTACCCAGATAACTGCACCGTATGTTAGCATAGGTCTTATGATAAGTCCATGCAACGACTTTGGGGGAGAAACCCCAGGTGCGCCCCACGGTTCGGCGGCATTGCTAATAAGCAATGTAGGTACTTCACCTCTGTTGCAAAGTTTAGTTTTGTGTTTAGGAGTTCTGAAGGATTTAATTCCATTTTCATTATTTTCCTTGTGAAAGGGACCATTTCTGTCTTCTTACGATTGATAGATAGTAAATTGTCCTTGTACCACTGTTTTATAATTTTTAGAGCTACTTGCATTCTTTTGCAGAGTATGTTCTCAAAATTCCCTGTTTCCAGAATGACCAGGTCATCTGCATATGCTATTGTGTAGTGACTGTCATTAGTGAGGCAGGTGATAGCACTTCTTCCTGTGGACATCCCCTTGCAAACAAGCCTCTTATATTCACATCTTCTACACTTATGTTTACTGTTCGCTTTGAGAGCATATTATGTATCCACCTACTAACCATTTGTGGAACATTCCTGTTGGTTAGTGAGTGTATTGTGGTTTTATCAAAAGCACCTTCTATGTCTATGAAGACACCCAAGGCGGACTCCTTATTGTCCAGGGATCTTTCTATCCGGCCAGCAACTAGATGAAGGGCTGAATCAATAGATCTGTCTGGGGTGTATGCATGTTGGTTTGGGTGTAGTGGTGTTGTTGTAATCACCGCATCCCTTATGTACCTTCCGCACAGCCTTTCCAATGTCTTCATTGAAAACGATGTCAGACTCATTGGTCGGTTTGTTTTGGGACAGTGTAATCCATCCTTCCAGGTTTGGGTATAAATACCACTTTTACATCTCTCCATTTTTTGGGTATATACCTTAGAGCCAACTAGGATCGGAATATACCCATTAGGTGCGGTGTGAGTTCTTCCAGACCCCACTGAAGTAGGACAGGATAGATACCGTCAGGTCCTGGCGATTTAAATGGAGAGAAGCTGGATATTGCCCATCTTAATTTTTTCATTATGTTCAATGTGTTTGGCAGTTTGCCAATCATAGACAGATGGATTGTATTCTTCCTCTGCCCAGTCGGCCACGTCTGTGATGACCGAGTCAGGAAAGTTTGATGCTATCTTCGAGGTTGACAGTTTTTGTGCCATCCTCTTTGATTAGCGCACCAATGCTTTGGTGTGGATCTTTTGAGAGAGCTTTTTGAAGCCTCGCAGTAGGATCTCCATGCATCTACCTAGCTTATATCTGAGTCTGATAAGGCTTTGGCTTTCTCTATCCGGAGATCGCGAAATGCACAGACAGACATTGACTCCTTAATTTAGCAGGATTTGTGGAAAATTAAATGAAAAGTTTTATCATGGCAGTAACTACTGTAATAAAAAAAATATTTTATTATATATATGTATATGGTAAAATATTATTTTCAATATAATATTTTTTATGAGTGTATAACATTTATTACGCTGCGTTAATTTTTTCTCGGTGTATTATACCGGCCACCCTTTTCATACGTTAAATTTAAGGTCACAAAATTTTACTCTTCGAACTTCAAAGGACCGACATTTTTTATTACTTCTCTGTGGTTATTATTCTCGAACTCAACTACAAAGAGCGGACAAAAAATAGCAACGTGCCACTTGTTGGAGTCAGCTAATGTACTATTAATATTATTCTTTAATAATAAACCTATCATGTTTATACTCCACCGATACAAAGGCATGTACGAACAATACCAAATTAGAATATAAATTGAAATTTTATTTTTCCTTCCATTTTCTTAGAACACATAGAATTTCATGTAATATTCTTTTTTTTTTTTCAGGGATACTCTTGCGTTGACTTCTTAAGTGCTGGAATGAGAAACTCGGGAATCTATTACCTTCAAATTCGAGGCACCACATACTGGTTTTTGAAAGTTTGCTGCGAACAGGAAATAGCAGATGGAGGCTGGACAGTAAGTGATATTTTAAATGCATATTAGACTTTTTATCATAATTAATTTAAATAACAAGGTGAACGGTGCAATTCTATGTCACATTTAAAAATATTTATGTAATCATTAAAAGTTGAACTGGTTAAATACGCGTACAAGTATATTTTTTATGTACAAAACTTTTTCTTTTAAGGTAGACAACTATTTATATTAAATATGAGATCATGTACAGTAGGAAATGCAATTATTACAACTCATTGTCGTTATGCCAATATAGTTCATATCGCAAAGTGATAATAATTTGTCTTTAACTCAACAAATTGATTGTAGATAGGTATGAGACAGTTTAAAATTTGAAAGTACACCGAGAAAAAACTTGGCTAGTATTAAACATTTAATAGTGGGTATTAAATTTTTTAATACTATATGAGACAGATAAACTGATTAATAGCAGCTATTAAACTTTTGTTCTTAGATTATTGTTGCTGTCACAAGCCACTAATAAAAAAACTTTGCTTGACGTTAGTAAATAATTTAGTAACATGTATTATACAGTTTAATAGAAAAACTAAATCATTTAATAGTCATTATTAAACAGCGTAATGATAGGTATTGAACAGCCTAATAGCATTTAGTTAATAAATATTAATTAATAAATTAATAACTGTTGGTTTAATGATGGGCATTTGCAAGTTTCAATACTCCCTATTAAACCACTTTAATTATGGTTTATAGAGGTCGGCCAAACCCCCTCCACCCCAAATAAATTGGCAATTGTCTCTTATTTAACTAAAATATGTAAACTTTTGATAGTATACCTCACTCTTAAAGTAAATACGTTGCATATATTAAATCTGTGTTACTCTAGAACTACTTTTCAATCATTTTATTTCGTTTTTTTAACGATTTTTTACCATTTTTTTTTTTAGAAAATAAACTGAAAAAATGTTGAAAAAGAGGCTTTAGAGGATTAGGTACACATAATAAGGCTTTATATAATAAACTTTAAAACTGGGGTATTACTAAAAGTTTGCATACAAATATATTTCATATTAGAGACATTTGCAAAAACCTTAGAAAACACAAAACAAGTTTATCTAAGTACCTTATTTCTGCATCATGTTTTAAAAATAAATATATAGGACAGGTGAGAAAAATTAAAAAAAAATGTAAATACTTTTGAACAATTAATTGCGTCACAAGCAAATTCTAAAAAAAAAATAAATTAAATCAAAACATATACAAGCCCAGCCACATATGAAATGGACCTAAAGGGTATGAAAAAAAATGAATAGTTAGGAGGTTAGTGGCGTGTGGCGTGGTCATCGTGATCGTGCATCTTCGACCACGCACGAATACTAGTTTACTCGAGTCCTAGAGGGGTGAAGGGATAAAACCGTTAATATTTTCTAAGGGTTATTAAACAATTATTAGAACATATTAAAGAGTTTAGTGAATATTATTTAGCAAATTTAATAGAATTAACAATACTTATGGATATTAAAGTTGTTTAATAATACATTATTGGCTATTAAACAAATTACTAATTACAACAGCTTCGGGTTAATAAATTTCTAGCAAACTTCGTTTAATTATTGGTATTAACCGAAAATATGGTAATTTATTAGTGGTTATCAAATTTTTTTTGTATCAAACATGTTTAATAGACCTCGTTTTCTCGGTGTACAGAACGGAAACTGCAGTAGATATTGGGGATTCGAATTGAGGATAAAGGGGTGTGGATTCTTAAAATTTAAAACTATACCAATCTACGACCACATCACCCTGAATCTTCCATAGTCGTTGTTTATTGACTGGTTCGTTTTGCCTCCTAGGACGGGTAAATGTTTTTCCGCAGAGCTGGGTAATTCCTAGTTAAAAAGCAATTAATAATTACAATTACTTTTTTTTTTTCATGTAATTTGTAATTGTATTTAAGTACCTTTTTTTAAAGTAATTTGGAATTGTAATTTCAACAAAATTTATGGAGGAATTATACTTTGTAATTATATTAATTTATATTATTTAAATTGTATAAATACAATTACTTGTCATAAGTACAATTACTTTTCTAATTATAATTACTTTTCCAATTACAATTACTTTTTTCCAATTACAATTACTTTTTTCCAATTACAATTACATTTATAAGTACAATTACATTTCTTAATTACAATTACTTTTCAATGCGTGTTTATGAGATGCACGTGATATAAAAACAAGAAATTTCCTATTCAAACCGGTCACTATAGAGCTCGGAGTCGAATCCTTATCATTTGTTTGAATGCATTTGAGGAAAACGTTGTGCCGTGAAGCAGTAAAATTGTTCAACCCAAAATAATAACAGTAAGGGGTAAGTAAGTAGATGCAGATATCCTTATTTTTAAGACGTATTTTGTATTTATATTATTATAAACATAATTTATGTTGCATAAATATTATAAACTAAGGAAATATAGTATGAAGTGATGCAAATATCAGTTTTTATGGGGTAAATACTAAAAACTACTTACTTACGTCGCGTAGGTATTTCTAGTTATTATTCTAGTTTTCTACATTGAAATGAAGGATTAACTATTTTAATAAACGTATTCTAAGTTACTTTAGCGTTACAAGTATTTGATTTTAACGTAGAAAATGCAATATTTTAATTAAATTATGTAGGTGTATTTGTATTTCGCGCCATGTTAATATTAGTAACCATGTTGGTATTACTGTTTAGGGTGACAGTTGTCAGTCCGTCACCTGTGTTTCCGTTTTGGTTAGATTGATTTATGATCTCCATGTGTAAGGTGCTTTAAGGTTATGTTAAGTTTTTGGTTATGTGTAAAATGCCGCTATGTATTTATGATCAGGTTTATTTTGTGGGAATAAACAGCCATCCGACTACAACTTGTTTAATTTTATGATCCCCCACAGCTCAGAAGTGGGATCTACTACGTATTTTGTTATTTGTTTTATGAGGTAAAAAAAAATCGACAATAAAAATTTCAAGCATGTCTTCAGTCGATCATAATGACGATCAACCGTCTGCCGTAAGTGTTGACGAAGTCGTGCAAGCCACAGTTAGGGCAATTATGGATTATGAACGATTTAAAAATGGAACTAGGCAACAAGAAAATGTTGAGCCAAAGGTTAGTCACGCCGAACTTTTAGCACTACTCCCAGAGTTTTCGGGCACAGAGAGAGGCCTAAGTGTATTAGTGTGGTTAGACCGAATTGAAAAGATACAAACAACATATGGAGTTACAGACGATGTAATCCAACTTTTGGCAATTGGAAAATTAACCAGCAAAGCAAGAGATTGGTATTTAAGTAAAACCGACCTAATTTCGATGACTTGGGACGTGCTCAAGACCGAATTAAGAAGGATGTATGGAAGTACAGCAGACCCAGTTACGCTGAGACGAAGAATGGAAAGTAGGAGATGGAAGAAAAATGAAAGTTTCTCCAATTATTTTCACGATAAACTTATTTTGGGGAACAGTGCCGATGTAGGTGATTCAGACATGATCCATTACATCATCGACGGTTTTGATGACAGGATGTTACAGAACCAGGCTCGTATGATGCTGCACACAATCCATAGTACAGATGAACTGTTTAGTTTAATGAACAATGTGATTAAGGATGATCCCCCGAGAAACACACAGATTCCTTTATTTAGTCAGAGACCTGTCTACAGCAGTACCCCGGGCTCGTCAGGTAGTGGAGTCCAGGCCAGACTGTCGCAAATTAAGTGCTTTAATTGCGGGCGAATGGGTCACCGAATCAGTGAGTGCCGTCAGCCACGTCGTGAACGAGGTTCGTGTTTTAAGTGCGGGAGTGCTACACACAAAGCAAATGAATGTACGAATAGAGGTCGACCGATGTCCTCACAACTTCCAGATTCGACTACACCAGTGCAGAATAGTAATACAATGGCTCTAGTGGAAAAACAAGGAGTGGCTACAGAACCGTATGTTTTAAAGGTAGATTTTATTAAATACCATTATAATGTTTTGGGTATTCTGGACAGTGGGAGTCCAATCTCATTAATTAGTAATCATTTAATAAAATATGGATATTTAGATACGACCCTTAATAATAGATACAAATATACTGGTATTAACAAGACCCCATTAGATATTATCGGTTTATATTCAGGTGAGATTCGTATAGGCAATATATTAATTAATATGACTTTTCATGTTGTAGAAAAAAACACCATAAGTTTTGATTTATTGTTAGGCAGAGATTTTATGAATAATAATAATATTAAGGATATTTCATTTAAGGATGGGAAATTAGAAATTCAAGGTAGAGCTGAAAATATTAAAGGTTATGACTTCCCATTTAAATGTGTGTCTCAAAATGTTTTCATCATTGAGAATTCATTTGATAATTTAAATTTAAACTTAGACCCATCTCTAACAGCAGTAGAGATTTTTAATACAAAGGAAATTTTTAATAAATATTACCTTCAATCGGAGAGACTTGATAAACCCAAATTTGATTTTAAAATGCATTTAAGTTTAACAAAAACTGAACCATTTTCGTTTCGTCCTAGGAGATTGTCATACTTAGAAAAGAAAGCTTTAGATGGTATAATTGATGATCTTTTACAGAGGGGTATAATCCAAGAGAGTAATTCCCCTTTTTGTTCACCTATTGTTTTAACTAAAAAAAAGTCAGGTGAGTACCGACTCTGTATAGATTACAGAACGTTAAACAAATATTTAGTTAGGGATCAGTTCCCCTTACCAATAGTTGAAGACCATTTAGACCGATTAAAAAATAAAAAATATTTTACCAGACTAGATTTGAAAAACGCGTTCTACCATGTTGATTTAGACCCAGAATCGAGAAAATATACATCATTTATTACCCCCTCAGGGCAATATGAATTTTTAAAGATGCCCTTCGGTTTAAGCTCGAGTCCCTCAACTTTTGCACGCTTTGTTAATAAAATTTTTAATAAACTTGTAAAAGAAGATAAAGTATTGATATATTTTGATGACATTCTCATTGCTACTTCAACT